ATAGATCAGTGGCTTATCAGTGGCTCATGGTTACATAAAGCCTATGTCTGTCCTTGACTAAATTAGTCAGAAATGTATATGAATATAAATATTTCTTTGGGGTAGTGTAGACCAAGTGGCGAGGAAGGTGATAAGTAGACAGCATCAGCACCAATTTCTTTTAATCGTACTTTATTTCTGACATCTCCATTATACCATTTTTAAAAACACCCCGGTAGGCAAAGTCTCACTTGCTTTATACAGGACTTTACATACACCTGAATCTCATTACTCTCTACCATTGAAAAATAGGTTAGACCAAACAATATGATCTAAACAAAAACAGGAATAAGATTATGCATCTAACTGACAAATTCATTTACACAGCTAAATGTTTTAAAAAGTAAAACACTGCATACAATACAACTCAAAATGTTACTTTAAAGAAAATAAACAATGCTATACACAATGAAAAACCCTGCATTTGGTTGCACCCTGTGATGCAATCAATGACATCATGACGCTATATAAATAGGAAGTACTGGGGCGGCCCCTCCCACACATACAGAACCTGAACAAATGGACAAAAATGGTAAGTATAACCAAAGCAACGTAACCAAACATAATTTATTAGAAATGTACCTGTGAATAGAAGAAAATTCAAATGACCTGATGGTTAGTAGTGTTTGCTTTAAAAACATATGCATGGATGTAATGGATGCAACTAATGCTACCACAAACACACCCGGGATGGTATGTAAAGCAACGTTACACCAGCAGTGTCTAAATTAAAGCATTATGGCCAACTGTACAAAAACAAAACAGGAGATTAATTATCGATATGATCAAGAGACAAGTGGTAAATGAGTAACTTTCGTCATAATTTATGAATAACTTTTAACAGAACACCTATATAAGTGTACAGAATAGGAACTGACCTCACAGCCCATTGTCCCTTCAATGGTGCTAGTTTCAGTCATTGTGCAAATGTACCAATTTATAAGGCTGGGGAAACCTGCAGTCAGCTGAGACTGAAGAAGTCGCTCCGATGCATGACGAAACGTTTCACCCACTGAAAACGCAACGTCCAGATGAACAGAATCAGCCTTTGGGAACTGACAGCTGGGGGTGCGACATATAAATGGGGAATGTTACATATGACGGCACTCACACATAATTAAGGACACATTGTACCAGAACAGTGAATTATATTTTCAGGCATGAACGAAAACATTTACGAAAATATGTGTTAGTATAAAAAAAAAACCTCCACGTGTAGGTTGCTGCTGAATTTTTGGCATTTAACATGTACGGTGAATGTAGCTACACCCAGCAGACTCTCTGCACTCGAGTCAACACTCCCCTATCAGGTTTTCCCAGCCTGACGTAAAACAAATGTTAGGACACTGGGATATATTCAGGCAAAGGTAAGACAACTCTTAGCCATTGACAAAATAAGGGAGGGGACAAAACTCAGAGGGTGGACTGTTGTTTACAGGTAGGTGTTAGTGAGAGAAGAGATAGGCAGCAGTGGGCTGACAGAGTAAGGAAGGGAAACAACGAAGTCTCATGCACAGTTAATTGATTAGCAAGGTAAATGGCAACTGGATGGAGAGGCGCTGTTTCATAACAGTCATGTTAATTAAACAGCATCACAATATAAAAGTCAAAGAACCCAGAGTCTTTCTGAATTTCTTTGTTCTTAACTTTGTAAAGCAATGGGAATATTTTAAAGTTCCAGTTCCTTAAACTTTGCCATATTAAGTTGCAGGTAGTTTTGTTCACACCAAATATCAGTGTTGTCTACTCTTCCTCATAACATGGTAGGCCACAGGGAAGTACAAAAGGGTAATTTTTTGGTGAACTGTTCCTTTAATACCATGAAAGAGCAACTCTACAGTCATCTGATGGCATCACTGTGCTTTAATTTTTGTCGCTGTGAAAAGAAACCAAACCACTGGAATCAGCTGTAGTGTACACTCTCCAGAGACAGCCTTAAGGAAGCGTCATAATCTGTACTTTAGCTCCACCTAGCATTTCCTATGTACGCGCTAAATTGCATTAGCTGAAGCCCAGAAACGAAAGTGTAAGCCATCCGTTTCAGTGAAACTATCCGCCCGGCTTCGGTCCTCGATCGCAAGTAAATACAGCGATTTAACGAAACTATTTATTTAAATTTTAATCAGGAAGTGGCTTTTTAAGACTGACTGATTGTGTTTTTTCTGCTTTCATTCTGTCACAGTGGATTTTTATTATGAGATGACGGTAAGTGTGTGTGTGCTATGTGGAGGGGTTTGACAGGGTCTGGAAAAAAAAACAGTAAAGGCGAGCTTGTGTTCATGGCATCATTTCTATTAATTGCTTCCAGGACAATAATGAGGAGCAGCAGTATCCCCAGAACACCCCAGGTCTGTTTGACGTGACAGTTTAACTTCCTGCTATACTGCCTCTATCACTATAAGGCCATAGTTTAGAACATAGAAGACACAGTAAAATGAGAACATATAGCATTTTAAGAACAAAAAATGTCTAGTTTTGAATTTAATGGCACTAACACATCTCAAAAGTTGGGATAAGGCCATGCTCCCCGCTGGGTGGCATCTCCTCTTCCTTTAAAACCAGTCTGTAAATAACAAGCTGAGTGCTGATAACAACCCAGACCGTCCATTTGTTCTTTAGGCTGATGTTTTCTAGAACATATTTTAGATTTTGACTAGTTTGATCACAGAACAGTTCTCCACTTTGCCTCAGCCTAAGAATCATGGTCACATGCAGCTTCTTTGCATGATAGTTTTAACTGAGCCCACTCAGCGCCTTCAGTATCAGCCTGTTTTTAATGCAGTGCTGTCTGAGGATGGCTCGTGGGCATCCCACACTGATTTCAGACTTGCATACAGAGATTTCTCTAGATTCACGTTACTGACATGTTGCCATTTAAACTAATTAATTGAAATATGTTCCTCCAGCAGTTTTTTCTTTTTAGTACTACTTAATTTTCCTTTTGTTGCCCTCATTTGAAATGTTTGAAATGTGTTGGTGTCTTCAAATTCAAAATAAGCTAATATTGCTCTTAAAACAGTACATATTCTCTTTTTAAACACTTGATGTATTGCGAGTAAGATATTGGTTTATGAGATCGCTGCATTCTGTCTAACATATCTTTATTTCCACAGTCAATGGGAAGAATTATGAGTGGCAGCTGTCAGTTGGCCATCAGTGGCAGAAAATTGAAAATGACCATGTGATTGAGACCCACTACTGCCAACCAGGAGCCAAGGGAATCAGTATCAATACAAGCCATGGGTCAGTATGTTGTGATTATATCTGATAGTATCAGCAACTTTAACGAAGTGAGAGTTGGTCAGGGAATGGAAATGTGTCAGATGCCATTTGAAATTTTACAAAGGTAAACCGAAACTCAGTTTTTGGGCTATTATAAATTAACTTTTTACTGTAGGGTGGAACAGTCCTGTAAATCCTGTACGCCTACAAACGAAGGGTTCAGTCAAGTTGAGCCATAAAATGAAATGGATCAGCTGATGTCAGTGACAGCAAACACAACATCACCCAACATCACTGGAAGACATCAGTTCTTCTATGCATCCTAAAGTTGCTTTAGCCTGCGCATATGCAAGCCACTTTTGAACCCCTCCTCACGCCATGTTTACGCCATGCAAGGCCATTATGTTAAATATAAACGTTTGACCACAGAAGTCCTGTCTATCGAAAAAAATATATATTTTATCCACAATAAGTGTTGATACAGATACACAGATTTTGTGTCAGGACAATGGAAAATAAATTATTGCATCAATAATCTTTTTTTAAAAGGAGCACATTCAGAGAAGTACACTTTTCATTTTAATCTTTTGTTTCCACAGGGTGGTGTTCATAGATTTTGATACGTTACAGGCTAATAATCCAGGTATAAAGGTGCAGAGACTAAGCTTCCTTCCTCGGGGACAGACGGAAGACATAGGCTGGTACTTCAGAGATGACCAGCTGTGGTGTGAATATGGAGCACAGGTGAGGAAAATTGCAGGAATTAACTCCTTAAATTCACTTGAAGGTTTTCTTTGAGTATTCCTTGTCATCCTCCTCTTCAGGGTTCCAAAACCATGTCATCATCAGTCAGCAGTAGAGATGTTGAACAGCAGTTCACCACGAACCCTAAGGGAACCTTCAGATTTACAGTGGGCCATACACCCTACTTGATCGATTTCTCCAGTATGTGGTGTTTATAGTGATATGTTATTGTGAGCTTGCTCTTTTATACAGCTATGGAAATGTGTTTTCATTTCACTTTGTAGCCATGACGCAGAGAAACCTCATCACAGGCTTACAAAGGAAGCTGCGCAGGCGTCCAAAATTATCCTCCAACACTGGAGCGTAAGACTTTTTTCTTTTATTCCTGTAGTTTAGACAGTCTTTGTACACTGAGCAAGCTTAGTCTACAGAGATGTCAGTAAGAAACGTATCAAAAATCCCCAGAGAATAAATAAAAAGTTTCTCTGAAGAAGGCTAACGGATGTCACGGGAAAAGAACATGAATGATAATCATTCCTTGTCTCTGCAGAGTTAGCTTGACCTCAGCCTTGCCTGCAGCTTCCTCCTCGCAGACTGGTTCTGTGGGCTACAGGTGGGAATTCATGGGACTCGGAGAGCAATGGACAGAATACCAAGCACATGTAAGTAGGTCATCCAAAAACTGCATGGAAAAATTTTAAAGACTTGCACTAAGCTGCATAGTAGCATCAAAGATATGTAACTGTCCTTACCTCGGCAAAGGAGGTTATGCTTGCATGGCACGTGTACAGATGTCTGTAAACAGCTTGAAAAGTTTTAATGAATTCTGATAAAACTTTGTAGGAGTGTAGAGTGGGGTCATGTTAGCAATCCATAAAAATTTGGATCACATCGAAAGAGCTCTTCAAGGTCAGATTAATGATTTATTGGTCAAAAATTGACAGAAAGCCTTGTAACTCTGAACCTATGATTCTTACAAGTGTACTGTCAACATATAGAAAGGGCTGTAAGATTTCAAGTATCATGTCACATCTGACCTCTCATTAAAGGAAAGGAAAAGCTTCCACAGGACTCTATGGAGTCCTCTTGAAAAACTAAGTACACCCCAGTAGCTTGTAGAACCAATTTTAGCACCAATAACTGCTTTCTATATGTGCTGTGTGCAGATATGTTCATTTGACAGCGCTGCTATTGAGAGACAGTACCAGCTGAACAAACAGGGCTCACTAAACTTCAAGATCAACAGATATTCATACACGCTGGACTTTTCAGGTATTGTACACACTTCAGAACTGCTCTACTGTTAAGCCAAACAATTCATGCTTTTTTTAAAGCAAGTTATATGGCCACTGAGACATTATCTTCATTAATTTATCATAGGTATGTACCAAGTCAATAACGATTTAGGGAGAAGAAGATCAGTTAGAAGGACTCCTATGTATGGTGTTCAGCAGAACATCAGGTAAGGAGAAACATTTGGCCACACAGTGACCACATCTTATTTTGTGCTAATTAATAACATGAATTAGGTTAAATATTATATTTTGAGGACATTTACTGATGTTAACACTAAAAGATTGACTAATGTTAAGATTGTTTTGCCTCAAACACACCAGATATGCACATAAAGATGTATATGCTGTGAATGAATGAATTTCAAATCTTTTGTGTTTTTTAGTTCAGGCCCTCAGGCACAATGGCAGTTCCTAGATATGGATGGATCATGGAAAGATTATTCCAAAGTAAGCCACAACTTTCTTTTTATTCATGTGTAGACGGTGCTCTAGAAAATCCTATATAGTACATTTAGTGCATTCCGTCCAGCCGTCCATCCATCTTCTGCCAGGTCTGGGTCATGGGGGCAGAGATGTTCAGACCTACCACTCCTCGCCTCCTCCTATGCCTGAAAATCATGGCCTTGAAGTTGGAGATGCTAATTATCATTCTGGCTACTTCACACTCTGCTACAAACCATCTCAGTAGGAGCTGGAAGTCATGCTTTTATCAACCCAATGAAACCATGTCATCTGCAAATAAAGAGATAAGAACCTGTGACCACTAAACCTTCTGGCTGTGCCCAGAAATTCTGTTCATGAAAAACAGAATCAATGACTAAGGACAGCCCTGGCACGGTCAAGCTTCCTCTGGGAATGAGATTGTGTTAGTGCGGGCAATATGAACCAAGTTCTCATTGTGGTTGTACCACAATACTCTATACTCCTAAAGCACTCTCCAAAATACCCTTATTAGATCCACAAAACACATCTAGAGTTGCTGGGCAAAATCCCACATACCTTAAAATTCCTTGGTGTCTTTTTTGGGTAGAGGGAAACTACCACTCCAGTCTGCAAGTAAGGAATTGGGAAGTGTGTCAACCAAGAGAGCTCTGTAACATCCCGAGCTTTTTGAGAAACCTGGGGCCTCGTCCCTTAGAAGCTTCATGTGCCTCAGTGAGCAGAGCCCCAGTGGCATGAACCATAGTGAGTTCTCATCCTGGTCCCCATAGTCTTGTTACTTTACAAAAGGCCAACAGTGGGATTCAGGAAAATTTCAAACTACTCCTTCCACTACCCCACAATATCTTCAGCTGAGGTCAGCACTCCATGTCTGCTGCCTCCCCCTCCCAAGTTGTCTGACTGTATATATGTATAATATAATAATATAATATAATTATGGTTATTCATCTATAATATTTCTGTTGAGATGTTGTAGGTTTTGGGGTTAAATACAAACTGAAACACAAACAATCCCTCGCACAGTTTACATACTTTAACATGGAATTATGGTAATTTGAGCAAAGTATTGGGTGACCTAACCAGAATTTAACAACATTGCCTGATTGTGTTTTCTCTGATGTGTTGTTGCTCTGTGTTATTCAGGGAATATGCAGCACATCCAGTCAGGAGATTGAGTTCCAGTACAAACTAAACCCATCAGGAACTATGACATTTTCCACCAGGAACTTTAGCTATGAGTTAAGCTTCTCAGGTGAGCAGCAAACATAATCAGAAACCTTTAAAGTTAAAAGCCATATTCAAAGATTTGTATAATTCAATATATGACGTTGTGAATAAATGCACCTTTTGTCTTTTATAGCCATGACTCAGAGAAACCTGAGCACGGGCACAACCAGAACGGTGAGAAGACTTAATCAGTGACTGAGCGGACAACAGATTTGTAGGTCGGGGGTCAACTTAATGATGATCCTACCAGTTGTGTCACTGCCCACCTCAGGTTGGCTCTCCTGTCAGAAGCTGCCTCCTCCCTTCCTCCTGCCTGATAGACATTTACTTTGTCCCCTCTGAAGACACGTTGTTTTTAATGCAAGCGTTATAAATTTTATTTTTCCACATTTAAGATGACTGTTAAGCAGTAAAATGTATTTCCTGTATCAGTTTTCTACATTTCTGGGTTTAGGGCTGGTTTTAGCAGATTATTCCACATTTAAATAAGTGGAATCGTTTACAAATAAATCAGTGGGAGGAAAAAAAACTTCAGTTAACTTTAAGCCTTTTGTTAACTTAACTATGGTTTCATTAAATTCAACATGCTTTCGTAAATCTTCAAATATTCACAAGTTCTTGTAATGACTGGAATTTTTAAAAGTTTCCCCTTTTTATCCTTTGTCCTTAGCATGCATGTTTTTAAGAATTTATTAAAAGTGCCTTTTAATCAGTGCACTTTGCTTGTGTTTACTTTCCTTAATTGAGGTTCCTTACATTTACATTCCAAAATCTAAATTTGTGTTTTAAAGTCATCAAAGAAATAACCACCATATATGGTGTACAGCTGTATATATGTACAAATCTTCAACCTAAGAGACCAGCACTGTGACACATAAAACAAAGCCTGTATTACACATGCAGGACAGCAGCTGTATACAAATAATCTTGTGGAAGAATAAGCTTTCAGTTTCTCCTTTGAGCTGCTGCTAGGATGCATCCACATGTTGATCTAAGTATAACAAACGTCTACTTGAAGACATTTTTAATGTTGCATGGGGAAAATGGAGAAATTAACAGAACACAAAGATTCAGTTGAACAATTAAGACTCACATTAGTAGCATTTTATACAAAAAAAGGTAATGTAATAAAAGATAACACATTTCAAACTGTTTACAACAATCATCATCTGAGGAATCAGTGTGACAAAGGTCATTACAAAAATGCTTATGTCACATAGCATTCTGTAATAACTTTTCCTCAAATATTTTATATTCCATATTTGTTTTTGGTGTTTATAGGGATGGCTCATTAGCTGTTTACATATTTGCAGGAACATATCAATTTAAGGAAGCAGGAAAGACCAGAAAACCAACACACAATACAGCCTTTGTGCATTAGCGTAGTAATAATATATCCTAATATAAATTATGTAAATGTTGTAGTGCAGGGGTGTGAACCTTGCGGCCACCCCTACTTACAGCCCGTATATAGATCTTGAAGTTACTTTTTTTGTTAGAGAGGATTTGCGGGAAAAAACTGCATTCACGTTTGCAGTTTTGTCTTGTTATACAATACTTGAAATTTTAAAAAAATTCTCTTTTGGAAATATTTGTGGGTGTTTTCTTGTTTGTTTCTTTTAAAGTGGCCCTCCAATGAGATGACAGTGCCAACAGTGGCCCACAGCTTACGTTTGAGACCCCTGTTGTAGTGTGTTGCAATGTTAGAATATAAAGCATCTGCAGAAGGCTGTTACTGTAAAAATGAAACAAAAATTATTTCTGTTCATCTATAAACTTATGTTGACAAAAAGAATACATCTACAATGTGATGAACCTTACCATTGCCATTGTTTCTTCTGCACTTTAATAAAGAAATGCCCTAAAAATGACTGTTTTTGTGTGTTTTTGTTTTATTCACGAGTACCCATACAGAGTCTTGCCCTCTCTCCATTCTAGACTGGCACATACAAGACTCTCTAAAGGGTAATTGCAGGTAACTAAGACAGCGATAACAGCATTAGTATGTCTTCCTCATAGGCAATTTAGGGAAATTTTATCTTCTCTGAATCATATGGACCAACCAAACCCTAGTCAACACACTGGATGAACTTTAGCCCAGAAGCAGAAAGTGAAAGCAGTTGTTTGTGTGGAATGGCACGTTTAGGTCTGTCTTCGATCATAAGTAAGTAAACCGGTGTTTAACAAAGTTATCTAATTACATTTTAATCAACAATGCAGAGAGAGGTGATTTTCTTCTTTTTTGTTTTCACAGGTGGTTTTTCTGAGTTGACGGTAAGAGTGCTGTATCAGTCTAAGCAGTGGAAAAAAGGGGATAAAAAGGTTTTGACCACAATATGTTTATTTATTGTTATTCTAGATTAATGAAGGAGCAAAGGTCTATTGGCAGGAAACTGTAGGTCTGTATGACACATTTACATGCATACATTCATTTACATAGGATTGCCTTTTAGTCCTTTGACTAAAGGACCATTGATTTTCTATCTCATCTGACTGTGCCAACAGGAAGTAAGCAGCTACTTAAAAAGAACAATATGGCCTAAAATAACAACTAACCATTAAAAATAAATACACTACATACAAACCCATAGCCTTTGTGCAGATTTGCTCAAAAACATATATTAATAAGTGGAGTGGAGTGTGTACGATAACATGATCTTTGCTTGTGTTTCACAGTCAACAGGAAGAATTATGAGTGGCAGCTGTCAGTTGGCCATCAGTGGCTGAAAATTGAAAACGACCATGTGATAGAGGCACACTACTGCCACCCAGAAGCCAAGGGAATCAGTATCAATACACGCCATGGGTCAGTGTGTTGTGATCATATCTGATAGTATCAGCAGCTTTACAAAACTGAAAGTGAGCATGTCATTGGTCAGAAAAGGACCTTTAAGTATTTATATGGAACTTTTTACTGGGGGGTGGAACAACCTTCAGAACAGTGTTATAGAGTTCAGTAAAGCCATGAAATCAACAGATCAGCTGATCTCAGTGCCAGCCCACATTACTGGAACATACCACTTCCTCGTCCATGCATCTAGTATGCAAGCTGCATTGGACCCGCCCACCTTAGCTCCTCCGTTTGAGGGTTTCCCCTTTGTTATATGATGTAGGGAAATGTGAAGGTGGGGAGGTCACAGAACATCATGTCAAATATAAACTACTCCCACCCATGTTGTTTAGAACATTAACAAGCTTCACACAGATGACTGGATTTTGTGTTGTCTTTCAACAGGAAGGTGTTCATTGATTTTGATTGGTTACAGACGAATGACCCAGGAATTGAGGTGCGGAGACTAAACTTTGTTCCTCAGGGGCAGACGGAGGACATAGGCTGGTACTTCAGAGATGGTCAAGTGTGGCGTGAGTATGGATCCCAGGTGAGAAAAAAAATATAAATAAACTCACATTGAGTTTTACAAGAAGGTTTGATCCCTTGAGTGTTCCATGTCATCCTCCTCTTCAGGGTTTAAGCATGTTGTCGCCATCAGTCAGCAGCAGAGAAGTTGAACGACAGTTCACCCTGAACCCTCGGGGAACCTTTGCATTTTCAGGCTACGTGATCGATTTCTCAAGTATGTGCCATTTACAATGATGTGTTCTTGCTTGTACTTTTATACAGTTATATTTTTATTTATTTATTTGGTTCATTTTGTAGACATAACCGAGTTCCACACCTTTACAGGCTCTTATAAGAGGGTGCGCAGGCGTCCAAAATTTGCATCCAACACTGGAGTGTAAGACTTTTTTTTTTCCTGCAGTCAGACTGCAAAGTCTGCAGCTAGCTGAGTAAAAATAAAGACTTTAATCCACCGAGATGTCAGTAAGGAAAGCAAAACCTCTGTATGATTGTGTATGATATTCATTTCTTCTCACTGCAGACTTGGCTCCACTTCAGCCCTGCCCACAGCTGCCGCCTCCCGGACCTACAGGTGGGAATTAACAGGAGATTGCCCAAATTGGACAGAACACCAAGCACATGTGAGTAGGTCGTCCAAACATTTCATGTTGTTTTAGCAGAAATGTGATGCACTTAGAGTGGACTTGAAAGATAATTAGTAATTGCTTGGGTTCCCACAGACCTGGCGTGTCCACCATGTCCGCGGGCCAATCATGGCCCTAGGTCAGATTTTATATGTATTTATTAGGGGTGCAACGATACACAAAATTCACGGTTCGGTTCGGTTCGATACTTTGGTGTCACGGTTCAATATTTTTTCAATACAAAAAAATGTTCATGCCTTTTTAATTTGTCATTTATTAAAATTATAAATATATATTTTAACTCAAAAGTACAGTTTTTAAATTTAATGTTGCTGAAACAACAAAGTAATAAAAAAATAAATCTATCTGATCGAGAAATCAGATATCAGAAGAGATCAGAAGAGAGTTTATTACAGAGAATTGTCTCTTTCCAAAATAAAAGCTATACTATACGCTTCTTCTGGGCTATATTCTCAGCAGCATATAAAACATATCAGGTCCCCATAAGGAGAATCATGTGCTAACGGCTGTCTAAATGACTCGAGTAAAGTTTGTAGCATGCTTGTCGTTTTTGTCTGCTTCCACTTGTCTTTGCACTAGGATGATGTCGGAGTAAACGTGCAGTCATATTCGTTGTGTTCCCACTAGTGCTGTCAGCGTTAATCTGAAATGATAATGAAAATAGTTCCAAATGCCAGATCTGAATTAGAGATTTCTGTCTCGCTAGCTTGCCCTGCGCTCAGTGAATCTGCGTTCGACTACTCCGCCTAGGCTGCACTGTAGAGCGCAGATCCACTGAGCGCTCAACACAGACAGCATCGTCAGAAGGAAAGTTGAAAAAATAAATTAAAAATTTTGTATTGTTCGATACATATGCATACCGAACCGAAAGCACTGTATCGAACGGTTCAATATCGATACGAGTATCGTTGCACCCCTAGTATTTATAGCCCTCCACTGCAAACAGAATGAATAAAGTGTAATTCCTCTTTGCATCTTATGGGCGTGAGTTTTTTTATACACTCACGCAATACACACAAAAATTAGTCAGATTTAAAATTAACCTGAGATGATGATATTCAGCAGCTTCACTGGAGTTTCAGGTGTTCCAAACAGCTTGATCTTATTTTTTATTTCACCCTCCACATGTGAGAGAAAAGTAGAAAGGTGAGAAGGATTGTTGGCCCCTGGGTGATTTTCCATTAATAAATATGGAACTCTTGGGGAAAAAAGTTTGGACACCATTCTTTCTAATAGTGTGTAACTCCTTCAGTTATTGTGACTGTAAAGATTTCTATAATTACGCTATTGTTCAACAGGCTAATAGATGAAATCAGTAAACACTTTCCTGATATGTTTATGGTCTCAGTAGGTTCAAGTCCTACTTATTTCTCATAAATTATGGTCCTGTTTAGAGAAGAACAGATTTATCTTCGTTTGTCTAAAATTTTTTAACTTTTAATCCTTGCCCCACTGAATTTGCACTAAATGTACAAAGTGCATTTCTCTCTTTATGTTTCTTTCTATATGTGGTGTGTGCAGATATGTTTATTTGACAGCAGTGGTATTGAGAGACAGTACCAGTTGAACCAACGGGGCACACTACACTTCAAGATGAACAGATCCTCATACACGCTGAGCTTCTCAGGTAATACACACACTTCAGAACTGTTAAACCAAACAATAAGGCTTTTGTTGAAGCAAATTATATGACCACTAGTATATCACAGGTATGTCTAAGTCGATAACAATACTGGGACAAGAAGGTCAGTTAGGTCTCCTTTATATTCAGCAGAACACCAGGAAAGAGATATTTAACTTTAACTTTAACATATCTCTTATTTCTTGAGTTGTTAATGTGGATTAGCGTAAATGTTACATTGGGAGGTGAACACTGCCCCCTTACACACCGATTACTGATTAATAATTTGACTAGTTATTCTTTCTTGATAAGACACCTGCGTAAAAGCTGAATTTCTGTGAAGGTGTATATGCTTTGAATGTTTATAGTCTAAATCTACAGTCCTGGCTAATACACCTTTTGTATTTTATAACAGTAACTCAGATAAACCTGAGCACGGGCACAACCAGAGCGGTGAGACTTAATCAGTGACTGAGGGGGATTTGTAGGTCAGGGGTCAACTTAATGTTGATCCTACCAGTTGTGTCACTGCCCACCACAGGTTGACTCTCACGTCACAAGCTGCCTCCTGCCTTCCTGCCCTCTTCACCTCAACAGGCTGATCGACATTTATTTATTCCTCCGCTGAAGTCATTTTGTTTTCATTGCAAGTTTGAATTTTTATCAAGCTACACTAACATGCAGAGATGCAGTAAATTAAGCCATGTACGAGTTTTCTACATGGCCGGGTTGAGCACTTGTGATAGTGGCTAATGTAGCCTATTCCATATTAAATAAGTGGAATCCTTTACAGATAAATCTTTGGAGAAAAACTACTTACAAATCTTTTAACTTAAAATCAGTTATTTTTACCAGTTTACCATAAAATACAAGTAAATTCCATGCTTTAGTAAATCTTCAAATATTCACAGATTTGTGTAATTATTGGACTTTTTAGATGTTTTCACTTTTTTAACCCTAGTTAATTTTCTTATTTCGTGTCATCCTGATTGTCTACAAGCTGTGCCATGTAAATCTTTTTAAGAATTTATAAAAACTTCCTTTGGATTGTGCTTCTCCTTCATTTCTTACATTTACACTTAAAAATCCAGTCAAAGAAATAAGCACCACCCTCTGACAAGATTAGATTGTGCACTTTCCTTTATATATGTACAGATTTTCACCCTCAGAGACCAGCACCTTGACACATGAAACAAAGCCCACACTACACATATAGGACAACAGTCATATATAAATGATCTT